TCAGTAAAATTGATGTACTGATAACAGAGCTTTTGGGCTAGATCTTGAACTATAAATGGGCTTCGTCTCATTTGTCAGGCGCCTGGGTGGCTCAGTTGGTTAAGCGACTGCCTTCAGCTCAGGTCATGATCCTGGAGTCCCCGGATCGAGTCCCGCATCGGGCTCCCTGCTCGGCGGGGAGTCTGCTTCTCCCTCTCCCACTCCCCGTTTGTGTTCCCTCTCTCGCTGTGTCTTTCTCTGTCGAATAAATAAATAAAATCTTTAAAAAAAAAAATGGGCTTCGTCTCATTTGTCAACTTTATTCATTTGATAATGGGAGTCTGAGAAGGATTCTGAGTTTTTTTGCACAAGAGTGCTGGGATTGATTGGTGATGCCTGCTGTGGGCAAAGACTAAGGCAGTGGGAGTATGCTAAGGAATGTCCTGTGTCTGTCATCCCTGGTCTAGACAGATGGCCTCTTTTGGCTCCTCGCTGATTCTGACATTCTTTGTTTTTGTATGTAGGAGAAGGGGACCCACACACAGAATTCAGCAATATATGTTATATATTACATCTTATATATACACAACTCTAGCTCTTGAAATATCATTTAGATTCATTACCACTCTGAAATTATGGTGCTGTGGACCCGCGACTAGATCTTGTTATCTGATGTGTTTATGAGGAAGAACATACTACATCACATATTTGGTTTATTTTTAAATAACCAAGTAAATTTCGGGGCAGCTGGATGGCTCAGTTCGTTAAGCATCTGCCTTTGGCTCATGTCATGATCTCAGGGTCCTGGGATTAAGCCCCATCTCTGGCTCCCTGCCCAGCGAGGAGTCTGCTTTTCCCCCTGTCGCTCCACCCGCCCCCTGGTCGTGCTCTCTCTCTCTCAAATAAATAAACAAAATCTTTAAGAAAATCAATAAAATCTGATAACTTTCAATAAAATTCACTTTTGTGGGAATCCTACGAATTAATTTTTTTAATTGTGGTAAAATACACATAAGATTTACTATTTTAACTATTTGAAATTATATAGTTCAGTGGCATTAAGTACATGCACAATATTGTACAACCACACCACTAGCTAGTTCCAGAACTTTTTTCATCACCCCAAAAGGAAAACATTAGCATTAGGCAGTCACTCTCCATTCCTCTTCCTTCAGTACCAGGCAAAGACAGATTTGCTTTCTGTGTCTATGGATTTGCCTATTCTGCACATTTCATATTAACGGAATCATAGGCAATATGTGACCTTTTATGTCTGGCTTATCTCATGAATTCGATTTTACTCAGTTAAAAACATTATCCTAAGGGGCGCCTGGCTGGCTCAGCAGTTAAGTGTCTGCCTTTGACTTAGGTCACAATCCCAGGGTCCTGGGATCGAACCCCGCATCGGGCTCCCTGCTCGGCAGGAAGCCTGCTTCTCCCTCTCCCCCTCCCCCTGCTTGTGTTCCCTCTCTCACTGTGTCTCTCTTTGTCAAATAAATAGATAGATAGATAGATAGATAGATAGATAGATAGATAGATAGATGATAGATAAACCCATTATCCTAAGACCCCCCATGGCACCATAGTGCATTGAAATGTGTAAATGGGCAAAAGAGGATTTGTAGCAAACTTCTTGTCGAATGAATTGGCTTTTAGCAGAAAAACAAATGTTCAGCGAGCACATACTATGTGCCAGGATCTAAGTGCTTTACACATATAACTGCCTGAAATCTCACAGCATCCCTGGGGGGTGGGGAATGAGCATAATTATACCATTTCACAGGTGAGGAAAGAGGCACAGAGAGGCTAAGTAACCTTCCAGCTGTCATATAGAAAGTGCTGGGGCTGGGACTTGAACCCAAGTTAATCACTGGGCCATGATGCCTTGGCCTTTCTCTCAGCCTTTCAGCCTGGCTCCTAACTCTCATTGCCCCAGCTCCCCCCTCACTCTCTTTGCCCCTCACTAACTTCCCTTGCCCCTCTCTAGTCCCTCAGCCCCTCACTAGCTTCCCTTGACCCTCACTAGTCCCTCAGTCCCTCACTAGTCCCTCAGCCCCTGCCTAATCCCTCAGCCCATCACTAGTCTCTCAGCACCCATGTCTTTCCTATTCTGCCTCTCAGTGAGACTTCAGGTCTCCATGAGTCTGTCTGTCTTCGGGTCCTCAGTCTCTGTGCTCCCGTGTCTCTCTGGCCATCTTGTCATCTCTCCACCTGCCCCTTGGCCCCATCTTTCCCTTCACAGCCTCAGGTATCAGGGTTCCATCCTTTGCCTCCTGCCCAGATAGTGAGACTTGCTGCCCTCCAAGGAGAGGCTCACACTACCTTCCTCTCAGCACCCGCAGCCGCTGACCGACCACAATGAGCACTGGAGTGGAAAAAGCCAGGAAAGACAACTGAGGGAACGATGCCCAAATATCACCCTGTCACTCTGAATTACTCTGTATTTATTTCTGTCTCCTTGTCGTCTGTCTCCATCACTAGCATGTTAGCTCTGTGAGAGCCAGGTATTTACCTGTCTTGTCTCTGCTGCCTCCCCGGTGCCTAGAGTAGGGCCTGGCACACACTGATGAATGTTTGTTGAATGAATGAGTAATTGTCGTGTGTCTCACTGTCTCACCTTCGATTTCTCACTCTCTTGCCATCTTGGTCAATCATGAGTCCCTCCTTCTGGGTCTGCCTGAGCCTCTACTCCCTTTAGCCTTGGCCTCTGGGCCTCTGGGTCTCTCCTGTGGCCACTGTGCATCACCGAGCACTTACTATGTGCCAGGCCATATGTATTGGGTCTCATCTCCATCTTCATAGTGACCCCATGGGCTAGGTACCCACACTCTCCAGGAGGCAACCTGAGACTCTCGAGAAGCAGACACTTGCCCAGGTGTCTTTGGCATGACAAGTACAGGGCGAAGCTGAGGTTTGAGACTGAGTCTGTCTGATTAGTGCTTTCTTCTGACACGTGAGCGCTTCCTAGAGTGTGTCCCCTCAGAGCCTAGCCCTAGATCTGGAGGTGGGGATGGGTCTTCAAAAAAAAAGGAGGGAAAGAAAGAAAAAAATGAAGTCAGATGTGCTGAGCAGCTGCTGTCAACCCTCCTCCCCTTTTGCTGGGTCATTAGTGCAAATTAGCATTCTAAAGGCCCTGAGAAGTCCTGCAAGAAAGGAACCAGTTTGTCTTTGTTCAATCCAGTCTCTCCCTTGATTATTTTTCCAAAGAATTCCTTTTCCCCAGAATTTACTGTCCTCTTCTGCCTCTCACCCTCTCTTTTTCCTTCTGCCTCTCACCACCTGCTATCTCTCTCTGTGTCTCTGCGTCTCTCTCAGAAAGGCAGTAGAATGAAGCAGTTGAATAGCATGTTCTGCAACGAGACTGGATTTGACACCTGATTCATACTTGTAGAGTGCTGTGCTACCTTGGCATGGTCTTAACCTCTCTGGGTTTCACTCTCCCCATCTATAAAATGGGGATAACAGCAATACCTAACTGAGAGGGTGAGGATTAAGTGAGTTACCCTTCTACCATATTAGGTAGCATTCACAGGTTATGGGGATTAGGATAAGGACATATTTGGGAGGCCATTATTCAGCTTACCCCAAACTTTAAAATGATGATACAGAGTGGAAAGAAGACAGGCAAAAAATAGTGCATACCACATGACTCCTCTTCACATAATTGAGAAAAGTACAAGCTAATCTCTAGTGACAAAAAACAGATCAGTGGGGCGCCTGGGTGGCTCAGTTTGTTAAGCGACTGCCTTCGGCTCAGGTCATGATCCTGGAGTCCCGGGATCGAGTCCCGCATCGGGCTCGAGTCCCGCATCGGGCTCCCTGCTCGGCAGGGAGTCTGCTTCTCCCTCTGACTCTTAGGCTCTCTGTCTCTCATTCTCTCTCTCAAATAAATAAATAAAATCTTTAAAAAAAAAAACAAAAACAGATCAGTGGTTGCTCCCCGCCCCCCCATTTCCTTTTGAAGGAGAGAGACAGAGAGAAGTGGAAAGCCAGGCCCAGGGCACGACTGGTGGATGTGGCCACATTCATTCACACACTGGGCCAAATATGGGACTGAGCTTGCCAGAGGTCCGGTGCTATGAAGGAGACAGACAGGAGCCCAGGGGACATCAGCCAACATGGACCCAGTCTCTGGGCTTGTGGAGCTCAGAGTGTAAAGGCAGAAACAGAGACACCGAGACAGAGAGAGATAGCAAGAGAGAGACAGTCACAAAGAGAGGGTCAGAGAAACATCCTATGGAGCTGGAGGCAGAGAGAGAAGCGCCCGGCCCTGCTCAGAGCAATCAGAGAGCCAGTGGGCCTGAACACCGTACCTGCGTGGCCTCAGTCTCTCTCTCTCTGCACCTCTGAGTCTCACCAGTTTTGTGTCTCTCCCCCCCACCCCCACCGTCCTGTTGCCCCATCACTCCCATCTGTGGCGGTTGCCAAGGGAGGGTGAAGGATGGAGGGTTGGAGGTACACACAGAGCACCTGAACACCCCACAGACAGGGACTGGGGGACGCACAAACACGCGGGCACACACCGGCTCATGCACAGGGACACACACCACCACCACCACCCAAATGCAAACACACCCTTGTATATGAAGCCACATAAATACATATAAGCCCATACATATGCAAAAATATATACACAATGTCATGCAGACTCATACACAGAAACACATCTGCACATTCATGCAATGCAAACACCAATTCACATATAAAATCTTACACACACACATGCTAGCTTATGCACACAAGTGGACAATGCACGCTTACCTGTGCCCGCAAGACAAATACAACATGAGTGCCACACACACTCCTGTGGACTTTGGAATCGTTACCACATTGTCTTGGCCAACACGTAGGGTTGCCCAATCAGAAAGTATGGGCCTGTCAGTACCACTCTTTCTTTCAAGTTCACACTCCTGGCCTTGATGAGAGGAGAGGTGGGGTGGGGATGAAGTTACATAACGTGGTCGGAAGGCAGGTTCGGGATAAAAGTCACAGCTCAAGGCTGCAGTTGGGAGGAAGGCAGCCAGACCAAGTCATGGAGCTCAGCGTCCTTCTCCTTGCTCTCCTCACGGGACTCTTGCTTCTGCTGGCCAGGCGCCACCCGAAGGCCTATGGCTGCCTGCCTCCAGGCCCCCATCCTCTGCCTTTCTTGGGGAACCTTCTTCAGATGGACAGAAGTGGCTTACTCAAATCCTTCCTCAGGGTGAGATGCAGATTGGATGGGGTCTGAGGGGGGCTCCCTGCCTCTGTACTTGGAGATCACTCCCCAGAAGGCGTGGGCGTGGGGTGAGGAAGGGGCATGGAGGTACAGCATGCTGGATGGTGCTCAGAGAATCAGGTGTCCCTGCTCGGTTGAGGTGTGTGGGCACTGTCTCCGGAGCAGGCAAGTGGGTTTGAAGAGGTGTCTGGGTGTGAGCCATGGTGTAGAATTTCATTCTTCAGCCACCCCTCGGGTGCCTGCCAGGTGCTGGAAGAACAAAAAAAGGGGCGGTGCCACCAATCAAATAGGCCTCTCCCGCCAAAAAAAGAGGCCCAGGTCGGTGCTGGTGTCGGGAGGAAGAGGGGTGAGGAGGATGGGAGGCCAGACACAGAGTGCTTAGCAATAATGACCATGAATGAGCTGTAATAACTAACGCCGGAGTATTTACCAGGTCCCGGATCACTGCTTTCCAGCATGATTTCTTGCTTGATGATCCATTAATTTATTAATAATGTTGTCCACACCCACGAACTGACTTCCCAACAGAGGAACTGGATGACCAACAGGAACTTCCAGTTGCCCCATTCTCCTCTGTCTACCCCTCGCCCCATGGCGACCACGCTCCTGAATCTTGGCCTTGCCATCCTTTTGCTTTTATTTTTATTATTTTTTTTAAAAAAAGCTTTTATTTATTTATTTGACAGAGAGAAACACAGCGAGAGAGGGGACACAAGCAGGGGGAGTGGGAGAGGGAGAAGCAGGCTTCCCGCGGAGCAGGGAGCCCGACACGGGGCTCCATCCCAGGGCCCTGGGATCATGACCTGAGCCAAAGGCAGACACCTAACGACTGAGCCACCCAGGCGCCCCTTAACTTTTTTACGATTTTAAGTCAACTGTTATTGAGGTTTAGCATCACCCCTAAAAGTGCACAAACCCTAAGTGTTCAGCTCAGTGAATTCTCTCTCATGTAATTGACATACAGATAAGTAACAACACATTCTGTCCCCAGAAACCCACTTCCAGTCACCACCCTCCCACTATCCTGGCTTCATATAAATAGAATTATGACCGGGGACGCCTGGGTGGCTCAGTCTTTTGGGGTTCAGACTCTTGATGATCTCAAGGTTGTAAGATAGAACCCGCCCCCCCTGCCCCAGGTCAGGCTCCACTCTGGGTGTGGAGCTTGCTTAAGATCATCTCTCTCCCTCTTCCTCTCCCTCTGCCCCACCCTTCCTCCCCCACTCCCTCCTGCTTGCGCTTCATGCTCTTTCTCTAAAGTAAATAAATAAATAAATAGAATTATGACCTATGGACACTTTGTGTCTGATTGCTTTCACTCAACACTATGCTTGTTGAGTTTCATTCATGTTGCTGGCTGCAGAGCCCGTTCTTTTTAATTGCTACATAGTATTCCACGGCATGAATATATCACTATATATTTATCCTCCATCTGTGTTGCTGAGCTTCCAGGAATCTTCTTGTTTGTATTTTGGTGAATCTATGTGCACATTTTTGCTGGGCGTGCATCTGGTGGTGGGGCTGCTGGGTCACTGAGTATACATGTGTTTAGTTTCAGGTTTTTTTTTTAAAAGATTTTATTTATTTATTCGACAGAGAGAGACACAGCGAGAGAGGGAACACAGGCAGGGGGAGTGGGAGAGGGAGAAGCAGGCTCCCGGCTGAGCAGGGAGCCCAAAGCGGGACTCGATCCCAGGACCCTGGGACCATGACCTGAGCAGAAGGCAGACACCTAACGACTGAGCCACCCAGGCGCCCCCAGCACCGAGCAGTTTTCCAAGTGGCCGCACTGATGTTATGATTCCTCAGATTTCATGATCATCCCAGAAGCCATTGTTTTCCCTTCATGTCTACCCAGTGGGTGGTTCAGGGTAGTTCTGTGGGGAAATAAAGTCTGGAGGCAGACAGCAGGTTGATGTCGGGTCACAAGGAGGATGACCTTTCGGTTTCAATGCTGGGGAGATCTGGCTAGACTCAGGGGTATGGGCAGGAGTAAGAGATATGTAACGATCTGTACTGCTTAGGGCACCACTCATGCAGAGCCTGGCTGGGTCATGGGTTAATCCTTTAGTTGTTGGGTCCTGGGAAGGGGAAAGGCAGCCTGGGGTGGAGGGTCTTGGGGGCAGCAAGATCAATCTATACATAAGTGTCTTTATGGCTAAACAACTGGGATGGCCGCACCGGTGCATATGGACTAATAGCAACCCTCGGTGTGGATGTGCTTCGCAGTTCCAAGAGAAATATGGGGATGTCTTCACGGTGTACCTGGGGCCAAGGCCTGTGGTCATGCTATGTGGGATAAAGGCCATACGGGAGGCCCTGGTGGACCAGGCTGAGACCTTCTCCGGCCGGGGGAAAATTGCTATACTAGAGGCAGTCTTCCAGGGATATGGTAAGGCCCTCAAAGGCACCTGGAGGGGAATGATGGACAAGGGGAACTGGGGAGGATGGATCCGGGAAGAGAAGATAAGGGGGTGCTGAGGGACCCAGAGTTCCCTTCCAATCTCCTCAGCAAACCATGCCTTCCCTATACCCCCAGGTGTGGTCTTTGCCAATGCGGAACGCTGGAAGACCCTTCGCCGATTCTCTCTGGCCACCATGAGGGACTTGGGATGGGGAAGTGGAGTATGGAGGAGCGGATTCAGGAGGAGGCTCAGTGTCTGGTGGAGGAGCTACGGAAAACCCAGGGTGAGTCCTGGGGAAGGCAGGGTGCATGGGGTACCCGTGGGCAGAGAAAGGAGGTAGAGATAGAGAATGATCCCGAAAGATCATCAGGCAGAGGAACAGACAGAGATGAGTAGGAGAGGAACACGGGGAGGCAGAAGAGATGTGGGGTGTATAGTGTCGAGAATAACTCAAAGGCATAAACTTAGATATTAGCACACTATTTACTTGGATTCAGGGAAACCAACTCATGGATTAATTGTATCTATCAAAGGCGAAAATAGGACTTATAAAAAGAAGGCAAAGAGAAAGCGGACATAAAAATGTCCGGGTCCTTCTATAAGAGATATTTTGAGACATAAATGTAGAGGCTGGGAGGGAGAGGCAGAGGCAGAGACATAGGGAGAAATAAAGGAATAGGGACAGAGGACTAAGAAGACAGACCGGAAGAAACAGAGTGACTCAGATGGAGAGACAGGGAAGGAGAAAGAGGCAGAGATGGAGGGACCAAGACAGAGAGAGACTGGAAGAGCCTGGGACAGGCAGAAAGAAACCAAGGCAGAGAAAATGAGACAGGCAGACAGACAGGTTCAGGGAAGGGTCTGCTGAGGGAATAAGACCAGATGGACAGGTGAGACCCGCAGAGAGAGGCTGATGACATGTTGCTCCTGGGCACACAGTCAGGGAGACCAGAATGTATATAGACGTCGACTAGCAAGTACAGAACAATTCTCTGGACACCAGAGAGCCCTAGAGGCAGAGAGAAGAGATGAAGGGGCAGTGACAGACAAGGGATAGGGAGAGCAGAGCTTTTTAATTTGCGCATGTGATTGACTGATCATCCGCTCTGCACCCCTCTGCCCCTGGGACTTAACTCCCTGCTCCCAGGGTCAGAGCTGAGACCTGAGAGGGACTATCTGCACAGCCCCTGGGTCTGAATCATGACCCCAGGGATGAGGAGCTGGGGAACACTGGTCAAGTTACTCCACCTCTCTGCCCATCTGTAAGATGGAAATAATAACAGAATGGCACTTTCCTCCAGGGTTGTGGTGGAAATTTAAGAAAATAATATACGAAGGGCTTAGAATAGGGCCTGGCACATCATCTGGGCTGGTACATGTTAGCTGTTCCTGTCCCCTTTCCTTTACTGTCACTGGGCGAGGGAAGGCAGATATGCAGAGATGGGGTGGTAGTCAAATGCTCCCAAGGCATCTGTTTGAGTCTGTGTCCCACGACTTGTGCCTCCTCCTCCTAGGAGCCCTCCAGGACCCCACCTTATTCTTCCACTCCATGACCACTAACATCATCTGTTCCATTGTCTTTGGAAAACGCTTTGGCTACAGAGACCCTGAATTCCTGCGGTTGCTGGACCTGTTCTACCAGTCCTTCACGCTCATCAGTTCCTTCTCCAGCCAGGTCAGGGAGAGGGTGCAGGAGGGTGGGCATGAGGTGGGCATCTAGGGTAGGGGAGAGGGGCAATCTGCTTTGGGAGCCCAGCAATGCAGCTTCAGGCTGGAAGGTGGGGCAGAGACAACCGAGAGGGACAGGGACACTGAGCCAGGGACACTGAGCGCTGGGGGGCGGGAGGGAGGGACGGGAGACAGGGACTGGAGAGCCTAGTATGACGAGGCAAAGATGAAGAGACAGGGGGACAGAATATGGGTCAGACTGTCAGGCTCTCTCCTCTTCTGTCCCTGATTTCTCCAAACCTTCACCTCTATCTTTGGCAAAGCCCCTTGCCTGAAACAATTCAAAGGACACATGAAAATAAGGAATGACATTTCTTTGTTTTTGCCATTTCTCCTTCCTCTTTCTGTTATTTTTTTAAATGTTTCCCAGATAATAAAGTAATATGCTCCACTTTAAAAACAAAATAGTATCGTTTCTCTTTCTCAAAGAACCTGGAAATACCCCAATTGTATATTAAGTTTAAAAAATTAAACTGCAGGAGCACCTGGGTAGCTCAGTTGGTTAAGTCTCCAATTCTTGATTTCGGCTCAGGTCTTGATCTCAGGGATGTGAGATGGAACCCCACCTCAGGCTCCGCTCAGAGCATGGAGCCTACTTAAGATTCTCTTTCTCCCTCGCCTTCTGCTCCTCCCCCACTTCTCTCTCCCTGTCTTAAAAAAAAAA